GATTTTTTTTAAGTTTTTTTTTTTTTTTTTTTTTTTTTTTTCATTAAAAAAGTAAGTTGACCACTGTATATCCCTGATCGTGCCTTTTTTAAATATTTGATAGTGGTTTTTAAGGACTTTTTAACATAATTGTAATAACAATGCTGAGAACTGAGTAAATAAAGTGCTCTAAGTAGCACAGTAGACACCGGTGCTCATTTCTTCATGTCACGACATGGTTCAGCTAAGCCAGTGTAGAGCAGTTTGTGTGGCTTGGCTTTCCTATTTATCAGTTTCATGTTTTATTAAGTGCTGACTTAGTTGCTGGTTTTTAAAAGTTTAATGAAGAACAAAAATTAAGTATTTCACTTCACTGTGCAGCATTTGCAAGCATGATGCCAAATGTTAAATATTATCATTGTTATTCCAGTTAATTCCATCAGATCAAAATGATGTTATTCGTCTTAGCCTCCAAACAGTAGAGACAATTATAGGAAAAGTCTCTCACTTGTGCACATTGCTGCATTATGAGGAGTTGAATGCTAATCTGCTTTCACTTATAAAATGAAATCATGTATGTTATTTTAAATTATGTACAATGTGTGTTTATTTTATGTTTGTACCTATTTTAAACCAGCTTTGAAAATATTTACTCAGGATAGCATGTTTCTTTTAAATATACTGGAAGCTTAATCATTAATCAGTGCTAGTCACATAATTGAGAGAGCATGCATTTTTTCTCTTCTCCTTCTCCATTTCCTTTGGCCCCCAGAGTTTACAAGCCTTGATGAATGAATGCATTGGCCACGTCATAGGAAAGCCGCACAGTCCTGTCACAGGTTTGTACCTTGGTAAGACAGAGCTATAGCATTTCTCCTAGATCCCACTGCTTTAGGTGAGCGTATCATCCCATAATTGCACTTACTTAAAATGGCATAGAGGTGCTTTAAGAATATTCAGGAAAATGGCAATAAAAGTTAGAGGAAAGAGGTATGTACATAGAGAACTCCACAATATCCTTCTAAATCCAACAGGAGGATTAAAATGCCAACACCAGGTATTCGATGCTCGTCAGTGTTGTCAAACTACTTTTTTTTTTTTCCTCACACCAACGCTGTCTGTTCCGTTCTCCCTGTTGAAGCTTTTCTTCTCGGGGAGGAGGGAGGCTTGAGGAGAAGGGCTTTTCCTGCTGCTGGATGGCGAGCGTGTGCTCTGCCGCCTTCACCTCCTGGAGGGAGACGGCTCGGCTTTCTTCACCTGGCTTTCCTAAGGGCCGTTTCCCCCCTGTGTAGTGAACTCCTGTTTGGTTTTGCTGAAAAAAAAAAGTCAAGTTGTGCTACAATATACTTTAGTTACAGTTTTTAATTGTAGTTAATATACAGTTTTACAGTGTGTGTTGAAATTTGAAAACAAAGTATGTATCAGAAAAAGGCTGTGTCTTACCCTATTCTTGAGATAGTAAATAAAAGCAAAACTGTATTTATGTAATAAACATCCAAAAAATGAAAACTTAGAAATTTTAAACAATTTTAATTATACAAAACAATTCATAAATGGTAAATTTGTTGAGCAGCAGCTGTGTCTTAAAGAGTCCTTGCCAGCTGTAGAAAGCTTAGTAGAGGTTTCTTTGTCTTTAAAAGACACTCAGTTTTTACCTTTTTCCCCCAAGGTTGTTAGGAAATGACAAAACTATTTAAGCATATTCTGTAAAATGTGCTATGTTTTATCAAACTTTTGATCACGCATATTATCATAAATACTTTGACTTTGTGATCTAAAATGTTTGTCTAAGAATACATGACCAGTAATTCAATAAAAATGACTTCTTTAAAATATTTTATTACATAAGAAATCAGTTTCATTGTAGAAAAATTACAATGTAGAAAAAGTATGTTAAAAATATAGAAAATGTACATGTAGGAAAATTTTCAGTAGGAAAATATATTAGGAAAAAAAGAAATGCTCATACTCCCACAGTCCAGGTAATCCCTGCTGCAGAGTCACTAACTGTTCTCCCTGCCGCTCTCCCTGCCTCTCTCCCTGACTACGGTGGGTCAGTTGGTCCATAGCGCTGTTTGTCGGCTCGAGGTGTCCTCTGTCCTCCTTTGTCCTCCTTGCCACTGTGGAAGGTGGAGGCAGCACCTGACTCAGAGTCTGATCGCCCAGCTGCATGCAGGGCCCTGGGGCTGCTCATCTCCCACCTCTGAGCCTCCCCTTCCCTTCTAGCGCTTACACTGGATGCTCGTGAGGACCCGTGAGGACCCAGGAAGGCGATAGCCCTGTGGTCTGTGCTGTTGACACAGGGCAGGCGTCAGCACTTGGTTTCGTGTCCTTATAAGAGAAATTAGTGAAAGTGAGAGCACATCACCTGTTCTTGTTGTCGTCGCTTGCTTTCTGCCCCTCTTTGCTCTGCCTGGTAACTGATGATGACAGCCTGGTATTTGACCTTCCACATTTTCTGTACTCATGCAATTACACGGACGCATTCTGCCCTTCTCTCTGCTCATATAATCACACAGCATTTATAGGGTTGTTTTCCTGCCATTTATTAAGTATCATACTTTTTCAACAAGTTAGATAGGCATACTCTTAAAATAAGTGTTTTATTTCATATGCAAAGGATGTTAAACTTACGTGTGTATGTGTGTGCACGTGCTTGTGTGTTTTAACAGAATGTCTTATTTTGTACGAACTTCATGGGAAAATTTTGTCGTAATTTTTTACTCCATTCCCATTACGTTCGCTGCGTTAAAGACATCACCATCCTCACCAAATCATATTTGTTGTTGTTTTTTCTTTTTACCTTTGCTCCCGTTGGGTTTCTTCCATTTATTGTCGTGGTAGTTGAGGGCAATGAGCAGGGACACAGATTTCCTAAATTTTTCCTAACAAGTGCTTGATTTTTGTTTTGCAAGTTTTCCCTTCAGCTCTCTCCATTTTTGGTACTTTTGTCTTTCCTGTGTAATGTTATTAAAAGCAAGCAAACAAAAAACATGGAAAAGGAAGTTTTTCCATTTAGGATGAAACATATTTAGAATAAAGCATATGTAGACTAAAATTATTAACATAGGAAGAGAAAATATGACATTAAAAAAACTTGGGAGGATTAAAACTAAGTTGAAAGGAAGAGGAAAATGGAGAAATAGACACAATATAACACACGTCCATTACTGGTTACAGTTAGTTATTGGATAAGTAGAATTGTCAGCATTTTTGTAATCGACTAGGTAAGATTGCATTTTTAAATTGTTTTAAGTTTTATCTGTATTGACCTTCTACCAGAATATTTAAAAGAGAGAAAAACTTGTTTTAGAAAAAAACCCAAAACAATTAAACTGTGCCCTGACTTCCTGGTTTGGTTTAAAAGAATGAAATAAAACTCTACGTACTCAGGAAAATGGCAGTGACCGCTCCCCAGCTCAGGACCCGTCACAGTGTCACCGCTCATTTGAATCCTTTTAAAAGTGTCGATAACATAACACTTTTTATTAGAAAGATGCCACATAAGCCACATTTTCATCTGTCTCTCAGGTGGTATATTGTTTGTTTTGCATGTGTTATGTATATTTCACCCGCAGGATTTAAACAAATGGTTTTGACGGAGAAAAGTTTGAATGTGTAACATAACTAAAAAGGGACATTTTCCACAATATTCGTGTGTATGATATGATTTTCTCGTATAAATGAGTTTATTTTGGTCACCAGCAAAATTACATCCTGCTTCCGGTTACTCGCCTGGCTTGGCAGTGTCTTGGCCCCTTTAACCAGTTGCATTTGTCGCCATTTTCACTAGCAGCTATTCATCGGAACAGCCCCCGTCCCGTGAAGGTGCCACGATGCCACAGCGACCCTCCTAACCCCCATCTAATTATCCCGACTCCAGAGGGATTCAGGTATTCGGTGCTTCTCTGGTCACTGCGTGGTGGAGTGTCTTCTGACGTGCATGCTAACACTCTGGAAGCTGCTGGGTGCTTGCTCTGATAACTAAGTACTTCTCTGTGTCCAGACATTTTTAAAAGCTCTCATTTGCATTCTCTGGAAGACACACCACAGTGCCTTAGTTGCAAAAGAAAAAGATGCACAAATCTACAGCAGATCGTGCCTTTCAAGATAACTTGGTTTCTCAGCTTATTTATAACCTCAAGCTACTAAATGCTTTCCAGCTTTGGAATATTCTTTCTGTTTTTTTCTTTGAAAAATGACCTTAGGGAAACAAATTTGGGCGTTCATGGCATAATAAACATTTGAGAAACAATACTAAATATCAACTTAAAAGCGGAGGAAAAACTGGAATGGTCTTTCCAGTCTCGATATTTATGTGTGTGTAACTATGAAGTGACTACTCAGTGTACCAAAGTGAGCTCAGAAACTAGCTCCTCCGAAACTGTTACTGAGTGTGGTGGCATTTCTGCATCTTGTCGCAGCGAGCATCTTCTGCCAGGTGATCACTTTTTAAAGTTAATTTTACTTGACAGTTTTTATGAGGAAGGACCACACTATTTTTAAAATAATTAGTTTGAAATTAGGTTTTCTTTTTCTTTTTCACACCTAGACCTGAATCTCAGTCAAGGAACAATTTACATTATATATTTTAAAACATTTTTCACTTCCTCCCCCTGTTTTATTTTTCGCTGAGCATTATGGGCAAGCCCGCCCCCTTGGCTCGGCCGCGTCCTGAAGCTGTCTTTCTCGTCTCAGCACTCGGAGCCACAGCAGCCCTGCTGCCTCTGCCGCCTCTGCCGCCGCCGCTGCTGCCGCCTCCGGTCGCCCTGGCCCCTCAGGCAGCGACCCTGCGCCCCCCAAACTCATCAGCAGTGCCCATGACGCCAGGTAGTCTTGCTCTACCAGGGTCGTACCCCCCTACCCCCCATATGCGCTCCCGCTGCTCCCCAGGCCCTGGCGGGGCTCCTCGGCCACTGTGTCATCCCACCCCCGGGCTCCAGCACCGACCCACACGGGTGGATGGTCTGCCTGGTTTTAAGACGTCTTTGGAGCTGATAGTAACCAAAAGGGCCAGAGTCTCTACCAATAGTAACTCCCTGGGGGGAGAATCAGAGGAAAGAGCCTGGTCCCCACTGAGAGAGGACAGGAGGTGATTGGTAGACGCCGCCTTTCCTGCGGCGGTGCAGAGATGGCGTGTCGACGTGGTTAGGTGGTGATTCGTCTTTTAGGAGGGTCGCTTTTCTAAGCAGCAGAGTCCCCATTTCTGCAGTTGTTGATTACAAGTGGTTTGTAAAGGTGCGAAACGAGTTCACGGGCTGGAGTCACACACGGGGCCGGGTCGCCACGGGCTCCTGTAGGGCGTCCACGGGCTAGAGTCACAGACGGGGCCGGGTCGCCACGGGCTCCTGCAGGGCGTCCAGTGTCAGCGAGGAGGGCACTGTGATTCCCACCCTACGGTGTCCTTTTCACCGGTGTTCATCAAGGGCTCCTATACTTAATGGAAAAAGGACATTTTATTTCTCTTAGTTCTACCCTTACGTTTGCTGGAAGGGACACTGTCACTATTACCCAGTAAGGATAGTGATAGTCATACAAAACTGGGCTGGGGGCGATCTCATCAGAGAAGGTGTTAGTGTAACGTGGGCAGAAAGGTGACATAAAGCTTTAGGATTTAAAATAGACTAAATTTTTTAAGTTACTTTGTAACAATCTAAAATTTCTACATTTTTATTCTTCCTCATTAAAATAATTAATATTCCTAATTTTTAGTGACAAACGTCTGTAACATAAAAAATGTCAATGTATTTTACAGCTTAAGCAGTCAACTAAAAAAATTAACAGTTAACATTGAATAAAGTCCCATTTACCGTCTTTATTTTTATGTTTAGAGCATTTCGTGGCCAGTGCTCCCACACTCACTTCCATGTCCCCGTGGGGTACTGAATCCATCTTTTCTGTAAACGCGGTAAGGGGGGCGCTGTGCCCTACACAGCAGTCGAGCTGAGGAGCCCATAGCCAGAACTGTAGCGCCAGCTCTCACACTAGCCGCCTCCACGTTCACGTGCGATTTAAAAGGGGGTCACACCCCACTTTATTCAAGTCTTGTGAACTGTAGTTCAAGGCGTTTATAAGGCTGGTGGCGTGGAACGTGAAATGCGTTTCCATATAAAGTTCAACACCTGCAGTGGCTTTTTTGTGCCTTTAGTCTTAGGCCTTGCATAGTAATTTTTCAGCATCTTCCGAGTAGCATTTTGTAAACATTCTTCATCGTAAAGTTGTACATACTTAGAAAGATCCCTGATGTTTAGAAATTTTACTACCATCACCGTATGCCATCTTGCAGGCCTTCCCCCCCCCCCAAAGGAATGAAGTTTTCTTACCTTTTTTGCAGTGTGTAAGTGACCGTAGATAGAGAATAGCAAAGTCACGTGGGTGTGTGCAAAGCCGGTGGCTGGGTCTCGCCCTGCAGTGGAGCCTTGCACGTGCTAGTTGAACTTGTGCCTCGGCCCCTTTCCGTGCGCCTGTGTGGCGGACCCGAGGAAGACCGCGCGTGCCCGCAAGCCGGAGTCTCAGCACAGGCCGGGGCTGAGTGTGCGGGGAGGAGCAGAGCGGTGCCCGCAGCCTCCCACGTGGGCAGGGGCGCCCAGCCTCTCCGCGTGCAGCTCTCGCCTGCCTGAGATACACCTGCCACAGGGGCCTCGTACTTTGCCCCACAGCGTCCCGTAAATATTTCGATTTGGTTTGCTTTGACTTAGGAAGTAGCTGGGCTTCAGTTGTCTTCTCATTGTTTTATAAAGCATTCTGCATCGTTCTGCTTGCCAGAGCTGGCTCTGACTGCTCTGCAAGAGCCGGTTCTTAATTTTCAGGAATTTTGCAAGCCGGTCATCCCAGCATAGAAGTTGTCAAACTCTACAAGCCCTCCCCCACCCCTGCAACTAGCTGTTAAAAATTCACCAGCACACCACTTCATTTAAGTATGTTTTCCTGCCTTTTACCCTGGCAAAAATCTCTGAGGATGTGGTTTGGACTAACGTTGTGTATGGGAAATGAGAGAAGCAGAGGTGCTAAGTGACTTCTTCACGGTCCCCCAGCCTCTGGCGTGGCTTTGGAGTGGACTGTGTTTCTTTGCTTCAACATGAGTGACTTCTCCATGAAATGGCGCCAAGACTTTCTAATGAACTACATGGCAGGAGGGGATGTCCCCTCCTTTCAGACTTAGCAAGTACTACCCTAGATTTGAGAGTATAGGGAAGTAAAAAAGCACTGCATGCTTCATAGTTTGTAAACGTCTGTTCATTAGACCAGTGTATGTTTAAAAAGAGCATAAATGCTACCATACTTCATTATATCATTCATTTAAAAATTACACACTAAACTGTTCATAAACTAATGCCATACTTATTTCGAATGATTTGTATTATAATTTTAACAGCTCCCTTCCTTACTTCTGGGTCTTACTCTTTATAGATTCATTCTGATTGCTGAACAATTAACTTTTAACTTTATTCTGGAAAAGCAGCAAATTAACTGTGTTCTTTATATGTTAAGCTTCCTGCTCTTCTGCACTTTTGCTTGGCTACTGCTTGAGAAACTTAGAACTTCTGAATAAGAAACTCTGTTTTCTTATTAAGAGATTTGAAACTTTTTAGTACCTTAAATAGATTTAAGTACATAATTTGATGGTAGTTTTAAATATTTACTAGATTTGGCTAATACTTTTTATCCATCCTGGGCTTAAGTTATGGAGCTTGCCACACATCAATAACACTTCCATAAGTACCATTTTTCTTTTTTTGTTTTTATTTTTGTTTTTAACATAAAACAATGTGTTATGCAGTTAGGTTTTCGTGTGTGGGATATGGAAGGGAGGAAGTATAATTCTCCTAAACTCCAGAGGAGGGTTTCCCAGTAGCAGCGCTGTTCACTTTGCGTGAATAATTCGCTGTTTGGGGCTGTCCTTTGCGTTGTCCTCTACCCAGCAGAGGCCAGATGTCCCCAGGGGCCGGAATCGCCTCCCAGTTGAGAATCACTGTTCTAGAAGAATCTCACAGATCTTTCATTTTGAATTCCATTGAATTGATAGCTCAATTTTTAAAAATATTGAAACAGGGGTTCCAGTGTCCCTGAGAACGATCGCTTGGCTTCCATAGCAGCTGAACTGCAGTTTAGGTCCCTGAGTCGTCACTCAAGCCCCACTGAGGAGCGAGACGGTGAGTGTATGTCAATAGCTGCATTCTTAACCAGCCTCATCTGCCTCGTGCCACCTGTTTGTGGTTAATGCCTTTTAAAAGGAAGGAAGAATAAGTGACAGAGCTTTATGAGAAGATTTAATGCTGAGCACACTGATTTTTAATGTAGACGCCTTTTCAGCTGTATTTGCATTTTCTAGGTTTCCTTTTGTTGCTTTTAAAAAATTCCTATTCCTGATATTTTACTTGCCAAACACTCTTATTCACTTTAAAAATACAAAAGTGATACTGTGTGTGTTGCTGATATGCTGAAGTTGTTTTTATCATGCAGACCTGGGAGTCCTAGCCCCGGAAGCCGGGGTTGCTCGCGCCGTAGCCCCGCTGGGCTCCCCTCGAGCGGGGTCCCCAAAGAATCCAATTTCTGCTCAGTATTCTGTTGTCTGTCAGTTGTGTAACGTTTACGTAGTTAGAATCCTATTACCCCTTTAAGAGCTTCTTGGTTTGGTGCGATTTTCTAGAATTGGTTGTAGAGACAGCTTCTCACACTCATATCAAACTATAATTAAGTCCCAGAAAAGACAGACTGGCGGTCACTCATCGTGGCCACTCACCTCTTCGGTCGTGCTCTCAATTGAATAGCGTATTTGTTTTATGTCGTAATTCATATGAAAAAATACTCTGCAGAACCAGCGTATCCAAAAGGTGATTCAAGCGGGTCAGCGCGAAGGAGTTGGGAGCTCCGGACACTCATCAGCCAGACCAAGGGTAAGGGAGAGCGCGCAGGGCTTCGCGCGGGCGTGCACAGTGAGCGCGGCCTCGCGTAACCGGTGCTTAGCCTCCGAGCTCCTAGCCCTGCTCCGTTAACTGTCGCGATCGCCCATGTCCGTCTGACGTCACTCGCAGTGTGTGCCGTGTGTGCGTGCGCTTCCTGTGTCTCGTGCTGAGTCACACTCCCTGCATCAGGGGCGTGTTTCCTGCGTTCCGCTTCTTCCAACAGCGAGGGGGTTGATTTTATGGCCCCTTCGGTGGGCCCTGAGCATTCTTCTGTGCACATGGTCGGCTATAATAAATATTTGTAAACTGAATAACTGTTCATCTGTTGGGCTAAGAAGTTGAAAGAAAGCATTTATCTTACCAACTAGGTGATCAATCGATATTCACCAAAAGAATAAATAGAAAAATCACTGGCCTAGCATTTGATGACCAACAAAATGCCTTCACGTAGTCTTTGTCACAACACTCTTGAGCAGGTGGCAGGATAGATTTTGTTCTCTTTTCATAAATGATAAGTTTCTGAGAGGCCAAATAATTTGGCCAGGGCGGCAAATGACAGAGCTGCGACTGGAACACACTGCTTCTGTCTTCAAGTCCAGGACCCTTCCCGCCATAGCACCCCTTTGAAATGTGTGAGGCCGATCAGAGTGCTTGTCCACCTCGGCCAGGGCGGCCAAGGGGGATTTCCTGGAGGCTAGCGCTGCCCCTTGAAGGAACGACAGGTCTGCATCAAGCCAAGAGAAAAACGCAGTGTGAGAAACACACCTGGAGGCCATGACTGAGGAGTAGACCCGCTGGAGCGGACTGGGTAGTGTAGACGTACATGGAGATGACCTTGAAAGGGTGAGGGGTTATCAGGTCATGGTGTTTCTCAGTGATGGGCTGAGTGACGTAGGCCTTACCCAGAGATGGCGGCCGGCCCCTGGAGCCTCTTGAGCAGCTGGTGTGTGCTGGGAGCGGGGGCTGGGGACAAGGGAGGCGCTGAGGTAGATTAACCTGCCAGCCGGAATTGGGGAGGAAACAGGGAGACTGGTCATTGCACAATAGTAAGATACTGGACCTAGGCGGGATTTTAAAAAAAGGAATAGAGACAAAAAAGAACATTAGACAGGCCGGGGGCCGGCTAGGTGCATGTGGAGGGCCAGGGGCTGGGGGAGATTTTGGTGGCTGGAGCCCCGGTGACAAGGCAGAGAGTCTCTCCAGTGGTTCTCATATAACTAGTAGTTAGTTCCCATGGATACCAGGTCTTTGCAATGATTTTCAAAGTAAATACTTTGTGGTCAAGTAAACTTGAGAACTCTTGGGAGAATTACAGTTCACATTGACATAGTCAAGACTGAGAAATCTTGAGAAATTTTTACTGTACAAAAAAAAAAAAAAATAAGCCTTTCCCAGAAATATTTGACAGTGGAGTCCCCGGCCTCACAGCTGCGAAATCTTGTTTGGTGCCAAATGATCAGTGCCATTTATTCAGGTGAAGGAATTGGGGTCCGTGTTTTACAGCAGAGATTGTATTAAGAAACTGTAATTGGAACATTGTAAGCATCTGAGAATTTCTCATCTCAAATTCACCTTACAGGCATCCCAAGCCTCAGTGACCTCTTTGTCTGCCAGAAAATGCAGGCTCTCAGATGGCTACTTAGGATATGATATGGCTTGCAAAGGCTGTGCTAGTGATGTGTAGAAAGCAGTGCTTTCTCAGGTTACGGGTTGTGACCCACTAGTGGGAGATAAAATCAGCATTAAAAGAAAAACAGGATGCAGTCTGAATCACATGTGGTGAGAGTAATAATGTCTCATGAAACTCGTGGATTCTGTATGTGTAGAAGGTATTTCTTACTGTAAATCGATGAAATAAGTTGGAGAAATAGAGATGTAGTGCCTTTTGAAAAATAAGGAATAATAAAAACAGTAGCTAAAATTCATTGAGTATTCCTGTATCCCAGGCACTGGGTCAAATGCTCTACGTGCATGATTTCATTAAGTCATCACAATTGCTCTGTGAATTAGGTACTATTACCTTCATTTCATAGGTTAGGAAATTTACATATGAAGGAAGTCAATTAAGTTGCCGGTAGTGGAGCACATGGTGAGGCCAGGATGTTATCCAGGCGGTCTGATTCCAGAGCCCTTCCTCTGTGCACCTCGCTTCTCATCAGGAGGGCTTCCTACGGGAGGTGCAGTACCTTTGCTGAGCTGGGACAGGTCACATTAATCACCAGGCACTGTGGTGGGAAGGTGGTGTTTCCGGCAGACATAAAAGCGTGAACAGAGGCATGGAAGTGGGGAATGGTTTGGTGGGTTGTGGAAGAGTCTTCAGTGTGGCTAGTCCAGAGCCTGTGGCTGGAAAGGGACAGGGGAATGCTTGCCAGAGTGAACTGGAAGCGGTAGACTGGGTCCGAATCGTGCAGGACCTTGAGTCCACGTGAACCGAAGGAGGTGGACTGGGTCGGAATCGTGCAGGACCCGCGTGAAGGGCCTCGCGGTTTTGATTAGCAGGTTGTCATGAACCATGAAGTAGATCGACGTAGCAAGGTAACATGATCAGATGTTATGTTTTAGTAAGAATATTCTGGGCAACGAGAGTGAATTGGAGAGAGGACAGACTGAGGCCGGAGGGTGGCCACTGCAGTCTAACCAGCAGGCTTGGGAGAGGCAGTGATGGGTTTTGTCCGCTGAGCTTGCCTTCTATGTGTGTGTCTGCAGAGTGGGTGGTATACTCTGGAGCTGCTCCCCTGCTGTGCGTCTGAATACATAAGCTTTGCTTTGATGGAGCGCTAGTGTATATCGCTCTGTTTTTCTTATTGTTCGCTGGAAATTGACTTGAGAACAGCGATTGGGACTACTGAGTTTGCAGCTCTCCCTGCAGATACCGCTTCTAAACAAGGACCCATAGAAGCTATCCAGAAGTCAGTCCGATTGTTTGAAGAAAAGAGGTATCGAGAAATGAGGAGAAAGAACATCATCGGTCAAGTTTGCGATACCCCCAAATCTTATGATAATGTTATGCACGTTGGCTTGAGGAAAGTGACCTTCAAGTGGCAAAGAGGAAACAAAATTGGTAAGAAAATTAAGGAACATGACACAAAGACCATCTGTGTTAGAAAGAGCAATAGTTCCACTTCTTTAGGTAAAAACTTACATAGTTGGTCATTTTCTCTTATAGACGTGGCGCATGTGCATTGTATCTTTTGCAGAGGGTTCTGTTTTAGTTGGTAAAATGTGTTCTGAGAGCAATATGAAAGGAGGTTTTAGAAATGGATCATTTAAAATGGATCATTAAATTGAATACTTTTGCTGGATAACTCCAGAAATTTCCAGTGGAGAACTGCGCAAGTTTCACCCACTTGTGTAGTCTGTATGCCTTCTGCCTTACTCCCACAAGAATGTTGTTGAAGAGAAATGATACCAATAAAAGATAGGACAGTCTTTGAAATTAATTCATTTCCAGGTGAAACAGCTTCCTGTAGAATAACTAGGGGTGGTGGATCGTGTGAGAGAAGGAGGCGGATTATGTTCCACACGCCCCACCCCCCTCCGTTTAATGCATCTCTTTGTCCAGCCTTTAGGTGTGAAGAGGTGTTAACACAGGGCTCTGTGAGCCTCAGGTCACCTGAACTTCCTATTTGGGCAGAAAACACTGAAAACAATCTAGTACTTTTTTATTGTACTAATTGTCGTTATCAGTCTTTTTAGCCGTAGCTCCCCATAGTTTAATGTCCCTAAAGGTATGTTAGTGGAACACCCTTCCCACACGCTCCTAGACCTGAAGCTTTAGGCGCAGTTAGGCAGTGGCCGAGCTTACTCCTGGCCACGCCCTCTGCCCTCCCCTGGCCTCCTACCCTCTGGCCCAGACTCCTTCGGGGGCCACAGGGGCTCAGACGTCTGCTCCAGGGTGCCTAGTGCTCCCCTTCATGTCTCTTCTGGGATTTGCCAAGGCCAGTTCTACTCTCCCGACAGATGTTCACACGTAAGACAGTGGAGAGATCACCTGAGACTTCAGTTATTAGGGAACATTCAGGTGTATTTTAGGTTTTGCAGCAGTAGGCTTCAGCAAGCATAATGGTATGTATGTGACATAGCTCCAGAAAGACTAGTGTGCATTGCAGTGAGTTATGACGCCTGCTCGGTGCCTGAGCTGCGCGTTTGTTCCCGTCCGCAGGCGAAGGGCAGTACGGGAAGGTCTACACCTGCATCAGTGTCGACACGGGTGAGCTGATGGCGATGAAGGAGGTGAGTGGTCTGGCCCTTGGGGGCTTTTTCGTTTGAAGCCTCTGTGTAACGGAGATTTGGGGAGAGAATTGGATTTCTGAGGTTCTCCTCTGCGCTTGGAGCTGGCTTCAGCGTTCCCATAGCGAGTCATCTAGGCCTGAGGCTGCATTTAGCGCTTGTACTGTTGGGACCACCAGGCAGATACACTGCGATAACATGGGAGTAAAGGAGTTTGCAGTTCCAGTGAGGGCAAGACCACGTGCAGGCGTAGTCCCGCCAGCACACAGGTGTGAGTGCCAAGCACGGGAGAAGCCTGATGGAAGCCCGGAGGGCGGCAGTAGCATCTTACAGGGATGTTTGGGGAGAAGGTAACATTCGTGATCAGCTTTAGAAATGAGCGCCATTTTCGCAGCCGGAGGTAGACGGGGAAGAGCAGGGAAACCTGAACAGAGCCCATCAGGGGAACGGGCCGTCGTCACTGGTGAGGGCACCTCGTGACTCCGAAGTGTAGGGCCGGGGAGGATGAGGCTGGAGCTGCTGCGGCCTTAGCATCCCAAGCGGCTTGGCGCGCACCAGCCACAGGGCGTGTCCAGACCATGCTGGTCACCCCTCTTCCGGCCTCTGCCGTGCTTCTCACCTTCCCTGCATGGCACTTAGCGCTTGTCCCAGCCCGGTGGTGAACTTCAAGGGGCAGGAGCATATGTCATCTTTTTATCTTGCTCAGGACCTGAACACCTGGCATTGCTCACTGCACGTGTCAGGCTTTCATTCATTCAGTTTGCAGTTACGAAAGCGATCCCGTTAGCTGTTACCGCAGCAGAGATTCTAAAGTTGGCACGTTTCCTTCACTTGGGACAATGAAGGGAAGAAAGTCTGGAAGTAAAGTCACAGACACACTGGCCATAGTGCTGTGGGTGTGGACAGTAAACACGTCAAGAGATGGCTTCACAGCCCCGGGGTTAAGGTGGCCCCGCTCCTAGGAGGTGACGGCACCCACAGTAACCGCTGCTTGTCTTTCACAGATTCGATTTCAGCCTAATGACCATAAAACTATCAAGGAAACTGCCGACGAGTTGAAGATATTCGAAGGCATCAAGCACCCCAATCTGGTCCGGTATTTTGGTGTGGAGCTGCACAGAGTAAGCCACCTTCAGGCGCACTGTCGCGTGAGGGTCAGTGAGGGCGCAGACGGGGCCCTGTTCTCCATCGCAGGTCTTCTCATTTCAGAGCGCAGTAACTTTGCCTAATTCTCAGGAACCCTCCATGACTTACACCATTTCTGCCTTCTCTCTGACTCTAGAGGAGCCCTTCCTGAAATGTAAGTTGTAGACTGTAGTCTTAACCCGACAGTACAGAGCACTGAAAGCCATCCTGCCGATGAGAAGATGCTTCTCGAATGCCCCTTGCGCAGCTTCTCGTTCCTTTTTTCCTCCTTCTGTTTTTGGCTGAACCACTGTTGAGTACACTGTCAAGTAACATTGCCTTTTCTTTTATATGTGTTTAGGGAAGCATTGTGACATGAGAGAAAATTAAAACCCCAAATTCATTTTCCCCCTCATGTTTAGAAGTAAACACTTTGAGAGAAAGGATAACTTGGAGCATCTTGGTAGAATATGAGCTTTCAGGGGAAATTGGATGTTGGTGATTTTTGACGTTTTCACACAAACGCCATCCTGCCGATGAGAAGATGCTTCTCGAATGCCCCTCGCACAGCTTCTCGTTCCTTTTTTCCTCCTTCTGTTTTTGGCTGAACCACTATTGAGTACACTGTCAAGTAACATTGCCTTTTCTTTTATGTGTTTAGGGAAGCATTGTGACATGAGAGAAAATTAAAACCCCAAATTCATTTTCCCCCTCATGTTTAGAAGTAAACACTTTGAGAGAAAGGATAACTTGGAGCATCTTGGTAGAATATGAGCTTTCAGGGGAAATTGGATGTTGGTGATTTTTGACGTTTTCACACAAACTCACGTTTGAAAAGGATGTGTTTCAGTGCTTAATCATACATTCGTAGGGACAGCCCCGTCGGGCCCTGTCTGAGATTATGTGGCTGACGTCATTGGATGACGATAGACATTTATCGCCTGCGATTTGGAGATGTTTTATCCCGACCAGCTGTATAATCCCAGACAGAGCAGGCGGGCAGACACTGCGACGGGGAGTTAGAGATGCCTGCGGTGAGGCGAGTCAGGGTGGCGAGTGCAGCAAACCGCTAGGAAGACCGTCCCTCCGGGGCCCGGCCCGTGACCCTTTCCAGACCCTTCGCTTCGCGTCCACGTGAACACACGGCCGCGTTTCGTTCCTCCCACAGGAAGAGATGTACATCTTCATGGAGTACTGCGACGAGGGCACGCTGGAGGAGGTGTCCCGGCTGGGTCTGCAGGAGCACGTCATCAGGCTGTACTCCAAGCAGATCGCCATCGCCATCAACGTCCTCCACGAGCATGGCATAGTCCACCGCGACATCAAAGGTAACCCCGCGCTCGCCGAGCCACCGCGGCATCTTCCTTTGCTTCAGATGCACCTCCATGAAGGACCCCGCGTGGAGCAGCCGCGTGCAGCACACGCCTCCGCCGCCGAGGAGAGGTGTCTGCTCTGTCTTTCTGCTTCCGGTGAAGTTCGTTCCCAGAGACAGAGCCACTGTGTGTAGGCCACCGTGGCCAGGCCCGTGCATTTAGACAGCCGCGAGCAGAGCGCCCTTTTCCCCGGGTCGAGAGCCTTGCGTGCTTGTGTGTGAGCGTTGAGTCTGTAGAGTGGCTGTGATCAGAGCTGCCGGGGTGGGCCACGGTGTGCAGCTCTGCTTGGGGACACGGGGATGGGCTTCTTTACCTGATCCCCCAGCGTGGGGTTCTGCTTATGACTGACCCGTGCCTATGATTGGTTCTAGTGCCTTTCCTTCTGGCGTGAGGGGACCAGCCATGCTTCTGCCTTAGAAGTGTCCCTGTTGCTTTTGCCTTAGCCACACCGTGGCCCTGACCTTTGTGCTTGGGCGTCTCGGGGATAATTACAGCAACAAATTATTATTGTCTCTGACCTCAGAATGAAGGAGTCCATTCTGTTGCATAGTCTGAGGCCAGCCCTAAACGCGTTCACTCCACGACTGGGCCAGGCCCTCTGTGGTGGCCTCCCCGCGTCCCCAGCACGCACAGTCTTGTTGCCTGCCTGCTCGCCCGCTGCCTTGCTCTGCTGTCTGCCATCATTCTGGGCATTTGCCTGATGGGCTCATTGCACGTTTCCAGTTGTTGTGCCCCAAACACCGTACTCAGTTCTCTGCCCACTGTCGTGAAATGGCATCTTCATGTCATTGGCCACAGCCTTACAGAGCATCCCTCGGAGTCCTTGAATCAAGTCCACTCACTGTGCACTTGCGCAGCGTGGCTGAGGCTGTGCACCCGTGGACCAGCTCCCGGCACTGGAGTCGGCCCGGGCTCTCTGCTGTGGGCAGCATCTCCGCAGGTGCACTTAGCCACGAGGGTCAGCTCTGGGCTTCCGCTCACCTGCGGCTGCTTGTCTGTCTCGAGTGGCTCTGCATTGCTTTTGGAAGGAGGTGCCTTGGGCATGCGATGCCAGAGACGTGTGGCTCAGTGGCAATGATACTGTCCTGCAGCAGAGGGCAGGGTGGCCTGGGAGAGCAGCAGTACCCCAGGTCTCAGCAGACACAAGGTGGGGTGGGTGTTGCCTGTTGAAGTAGGAGACAGTTACAGAACCTCCTGTTCGGTCACCGTCTAAAACCAGCGCAGCGGTGGCCTCAGATGTGACTAAGCAGCGTGTGTGCCGGCTCCTGGCCACGTGCTGCGCCCTGTTGTGGGAGCTGCTCGTGGCATATAGCTCTGTTTCGGGGACTGCTACCACAAGCATTTGCGTTTCTCCAGTAATTTCTTTAAGTATCTCTGTGGGTTTCTAATGTTAGAATTTATGCAGGTATTTCAGTTTAGAAATTATTGGTCAAAGCTGTCTGCACTGATATTAAAATTCTTTGTTAACGTTTACAAAAAGCTTGAAATCTTTCTGTGATTACACGTGGTGAATAAAGTTTTGTGAACTTCGATATTATTTACTTGGTAGTTCAGGTTGCTGTGTAAACTTTAAGATGCCCACATTGTGTTTCAGAGGCTAACAACTGCTTACTTCTTATCAGGTGCCAATATCTTCCTTACCTCATCTGGGCTAATCAAACTGGGAGATTTCGGATGCTCAGTAAAGCTTAAAAACAACGCACAGACCATGCCCGGTGAAGTGAACAGCACACTGGGGACAGCAGGTGGGGACCAGCTTGATCTCTCTTTGTGCCAAGTCCTTGCTGTGTGCCTGGGCACTGAGCCTCCCCTCCAGCTCTGCCGCCAGCACTGGCTGGGAGGGCAGGGGGTCTGACCACACGGGGACCAGTCCACACCCGTCAGGCTGGGAAACCAGTTCCCCTTAAGGTTAAAGGAGTGAGGAGGGGCCTTTTCCTCCCAGAAGAACTCCGGGCTCTTCACACGGGTTTGTTAATGTTGTTCTAGTCGAAGGAGCGTTATGCTTAAGTGGCGACCACCTGTTTTGATGTTCAGCATCATAAACCTTTGTATCCTCCTTTGCAGGCTACATTTCCTATTTTTATTATGCATACAGTTCGTCTGAAGATTCTCACTTTCAAAAATTGTCATTTAGAAGATAACTTGGCCCCTAAAATGTCCTTTCAAGAAATTGATTTGAAATGTTTTCAGTTAGCGATATTCCTATTGTGTAATTCGGAGAAGCCCCACCCCCATCACCCCTCGCCACCCCCAGCACTACCTGTTTCTTCTGTGCGGCGTGTTATATGGTGCTGTGTTGATAACCCATACCTTTCGCTGTATCTGTGACTATTAAAGCTTACATGGCTCCGGAGGTCATCACTCGAGCGAAAGGAGAAGGCCACGGGCGTGCGGCCGACATCTGGAGCCTGGGGTGCGTTGTCATAGAGATGGTGACCGGCAAGGTAAGCAGAGCCCGTACCTGGAGGAGAAACTTCAGGAGGGCGCCTTACGTTAACAGGGCAGTTGCTGTGGTTTTATTATCATGAATACTGGGGACACATTTTCTGCTAAATAGAGAACATGACTAGAGATGAAAAATGGGACCTGTCACAAGATACGTAAGGTTAAGGTAAGTGGCAGACTAGGAACCAAATATTTATAAGACTTAGAGAACTTTCACAAATGAATAAAAACATAAAGCTTGAATTAAAACATGGAGAAACAGGCAGCTCCAAGAAGAAATATGAAGCTGAAACTTAGTCCACGCACACCCTGGCACATGAATGCCCGTGTTAACTTTATTCGTAATTGCCCAAGCTTAGCAGCATCCAAAGTACCCTTTGGTCGTAAATGGGTCGGCCGTGGTGGTCTGTGCAACGGAATATCATGCAGCAGTGAAAAGAAATGCGCTGTCCAGCCAGGGGACAACAGGGAGGCACCTTAAACGCATACTGCTGCGTGAAGGAAGCCAGTCTGAAAAGGCCACACACTGCGTGATGACAGTTACGTGACCTTCTGGGCGAGGCCACGCCGCGGGCGCAGTGAAAGAGCAGTGGTCTCCGGGGCTGTGGGGGAGGGCGGGAGGGCTGCTCTGTGATGTCACATCTGGAAACTCTGAAAGTGGTCTCCTCGTGAAGATGCAGCTGACGAATGATTATAACGTGTATGAAGGCACTGTGTGTGCAGCATCATTTTAAAGCTAAATGTTAGAAACCTCTTTAGTGTTTTTCATAGGAAGTTAACAGGCAACTATACTTTGCAGCTGCTGAGAGAGACCATGGAAGTGCTGAGTAAATACTGGCTAATATTGTTTCTATTAGCACTAACACAGAAAGATGCCCATGGTGCTTGTCATTTCAGTCAAGACACACATCAGAGGGAGAACAAGTTCTCACATTGAAGAAAACATCTCAGTAACTAGACAGTGGTGCACAAATTAGAATGCCACAGAAACTTAGCTCTTTTCCCCACAAATTTCATTTTTCCTGTGATAATAAAATAATCTAAGTTTTGCAGTAATAGCATTTGATGCTCGTTATGCAAGAAGGTAGCATTTAATAACTGCTCTGTAAGGTAACTGTTGAATTTTACGTTTTAGTGGCTCTTCCATATCTTTTTGTGCATTCCATATTTTATTTGCATGATGACGGCGGGTCATGCTGGACTAACAGAACTTCCGGATGGGGTAGGCGGGCCTTACTGACCACGTGGCTGTATACATAAAGTTTCACGGCCCACGTCACGCCCATTCATTTACACGTTTTCCGAGGCCACCTTTCTTTTACAATAGAATCGAATAGTTGTGACAGAGAGCGACCATACAGCCACAGCCTAAAATATTTACTGTTCGACTCTAAGGAAAAGTTAGCCGGCCCCCGATACATGGAACTATTGAGATGCCAAAGAAGAAACTGGGAAATTGCGGAAATTGCTTTTTTTATAGCCACGTAGTGTTAAAACCTGATTTCTTTTCTCTTTAGAGGCCTTGGCATGAATATGAACACAACTTTCAGATCATGTATAAAGTGGGAATGGGGCATAAGCCACCCATCCCCGAGAGATTAAGCCCAGAAGGAAAGGACTTCCTTTGTCACTGCCTTGAAAGTGAGCCCAGGATGAGGTGGACGGCCAGCCAGCTCCTCGACCACTCCTTTGTCAAGGTTTGGCAGACTGCTGTGCAGTCACCTCCGCGTTTGATGTTGGGGTCCTGTTTGCAGCTGTCACTTAAAGACAATGGGACACTTAAATATGGAATGTCCGTGTCTGTATCTGAAGTGGAAAGGAACTGAATGTACCGTGTCAGGGAGTGTCGTAGGTGATTTTTTTCTGGAAGGTGTTTGTTGAGGTTCTGCTGCGTGGCCCACTTTGGCGATGTCTGCGAGGTGCCTTGGAACTGAGTGGGCCTGGAGGAGAGCGGTCCCCCTTTGTGAGTGGAGGCTGCTGCGCTCAGGGTAGGGGTGGCTAACTGCTACTCAGGGAGGAGGCCGGGGCCCTCATGACCAAGGATCGTGTGAAGCTGTGGTCGTGGTACGTGTGCCATGTCGTGCGGTCACTGGGAAGAGGCGCGTCACACTGCCAGGCAGTTCCAGATGTTGCTTTGTCTGGAGTGGGATGCGTCAGCCAGGTCCGGAGTAGGGGCGGGGCATGACAGACAGAGTGGAAGGGACGTGGGAAGGCCCACTGAGAAGGGGGGAGCGGTCAGGGCACTGCGGGTAGATGCGGGTGGGGCACAGCCTGTGACGCATGCAACAGGGAAGGCTGGGGACGTCAGCCAGGGCCACCTGAAGGAGCGCGGTGCGATTACACGATCTTTTGGCGCCATCACCCTGGAGGCAGGAGAGCGTGAGGAAGCTGCCGAGACACCCGCGGGCCGGGAGCGGGGCGCTGGGAGCGGGGCGCTGGGAGCGGGGCGCTGGGGCGAGTTGTCAGCGATGTGCAGGAGTGAGGTGGCCGTGCCGAGCTCCTGACCCCGACGAGACGTGAAGGGTGACTGAAGTGGAGAGGTCCGGGATGGCTTCCCGGCTCCTGGCCGGGGTCCCTAGGTTATAGGAACTCCATCACCACGATGGGTAAAGATGGTGGCCGATTGAGGTGGGGCCCAGAGATGACGGCGACCTCTTCGGCGATAAGCGTGAGGTGTCTCTGGAACAGCTGCTTGGGGATTTCAGATGGGCGTCTGGAAGCTTCGGGTCCTTACCCGAGGGAGGCCTGGGGTAGGACATAGCTTCGGGAGACAGAAGTGCTGCCGGGAGAGGGTCTGGAGGGTGAGTGGGAGAAACTGCAGGGGCGGGTGCTGCCGGGAGCAAGTGCCGAGGAGAGGGAGGGACGGGGGTGGGGGTGACATCGCTCCTGGGGCCCGAAGTTAGGGAGCCAGCCGCTGACCTGCTGTGTAGGTATCAGGGACTCGTGACTAAACGTTTATGTTTTCATTGTAAAGTACATAAGTAACTTCTATTATATGGTTCCGGTTGTAGAAATACGTTCTTAAAAACGCCGTCAGTGGCCGGGTTGCAGAGCAGTCGGCCGGCACGGGCGATGTTAGTTGCAGACGCGGTGCGGGGACGAGCAGGCGTGCCGGTGGGGCTTCCCGGGAGTCTTGGGTGGGGTGCGAGGGGTTCAGCTGTCCCGCCTTCCCAACAGGTTTGCACAGATGAAGAGTGAAGGTGGTCGGCCGGTGGCCTCGGAGCGCGCGTCCTTGGAACCCCCAAATCACTACTGTATGTAACATTTACGTGAAGACCGTGCCGAGAGGTGGTGTGCGCTCTCCAACCTTCCAAGACTGAAGACTGCACAGGTGACAAGCGTCACTGCTCCTGCTGCTCCCGTTGGTTCGACCTGGCACGGGCCTTCCCGAGTGACAGTGTCCACGAGGTAAAGAAGCTGCATGTTAAGTGCCATTACTACTGTACACGGACCGTCGCCTCTGTCACCGCCGTGTCTCCCGTGACTGAGAACCGTGACATCAGTGTGGTGTTTTTGACCTTACGAGGTTCAGAAGCAGTTGTAGTTTCCGGCGTCCTGGGCCTTGTCGCTGACCTCCTGTCTGTCGTGTGCACTGACTGTGAAACCGTTCTTTCATTGTTGTTGGCAAGCCGCAGGTTTGTTTTGCAAAAGGCTGATTGATAAAATTTAAGAAAAAGGTTCTTTTTTCAATAAATGGTTTATTTTAGGAAAGCACAGTCACATGGCCTTTTAATGGTTATCAGCTCAGGGCCAGCGGGGTCCGTTCGCACGTCTGTGCTCTCCGCAGAAGAGCCACAGGCCCGCGGGTGCTGAAGATGGGTGTGGGCTTGGCACGTCCTTCGGGCCTGGCTCCCTCGCCCTCGGGAGAGAGTGGACACCACTGAGCACGTGGGATGGCTCTCGGAAGTGATTTTATGTCAACCAGCAAGTTTATGACACGTGCAGGTGTAAGCCTTGTTACCACATGTTGGGGGCTCAGTGTATTCGGACACCAAGATATGCTAGGTCAGTACAGATACTGCCGAATAATCTCTTGGCAAGAAAGGAGCTTTTCAGGTTGTAAATATGCCAGCAGTTCATTTTCTAAAATAGCCTAAATTATGTGTCATTGGTGGTGGTCTTTAATTTCTTTGCTATTAAATTTTCAGAAGGTCGATCCGTTTAGATCATCGACTCCGTCCTTGCACATAGCAGCCGACTGGGCGAGTTAATTCCTTGGGTGGGTTCCGTGCTCACCTTCCCTCCCGCACGGCGCGGCCGCTCACGAAGAAATTACTGTCCTGGGGACGTCGGCGTTTGATACAAACACATAGCATTTTTTTAAATTTCTCCTTTTTAAAATGGCCTTTGAGGTATAGTTTCTATAATATTTGAAGTAGATCACTCCGTGATTTTTAGTATAGCTACGAAGTTGTACAGCCATCTTCACAATCTATCTGAGAACATTTCCATCACCCCCCACAAAAATCTCGTGTGTGTTTGTAGTCACCCACTCCCCATTCCCACCCCCAGCCTCAGGTGACCACTAAGCCACTCCCAGTCTCCCCGGCGTGACCTGTCCTGGACATTTCACGTAAACAGACTGACAACACGTGGTCTTTTGGGTTTGGCTTCTTCCGCTCTGCGCAGTGCCTCCGAGGTTCGTCCACGCTGCAGCGCGGGTCAGCACTGCGGTGTCCGATGTGCCACGCGTGTCATTCGTTTTTAAGTGGTTCCACTTTTTGGGTATTATGAATAATGCTGCTCTGAACATTACAAGTCTGTGTGTGGACGTGTTTTCGGTTCCCTTGGGAATGGAACCTGTTGAAGGTTCATGCTCAATATTTTAAGAAGCTGCCAAGCTGTCTCCAACGTGAGGGCACCCCTTACGTCTCCGGGCCCCGCCATGCCGGCTGCTGCCCTGGGCGTGGCCGTCCCGCGTCTGAGGTGGTGCTATCATGCTGAGGTTTCGGTCTGTGTCCCCGCGTGCTGCTGCTGCCAGGCTTGCTGGCCCGTCCTTCGTCTTCAGTGAGATGTCTGTTTGGATCATTTGCCTATTTTTCATTGCGTTACTTTTCTTATCGAGTTGGGAGAGGATTTCATGTATTCTGGACACAAGTCCCTTACTGGGTACGTGACCTGAAAGTGTTTTATTCTCCCAGTGTTTGTCTTGTCTTCTCCCTTAGCGGTGTCTTTGGAAGTACAGAAGTTTGTCGCACGTGCTCTTGATATTGTACCTAAGGAATTATTACCGGACCCCAGTCACAAAGATTTATATCTGGGTTTTCCTCTAAGAGTTTCCTCTAAGAGTTTCACAGTTTCAGCTCTTACACTTAGGTTTGTCACTCATTGTTAGTTAATTTCTGTGTATGGTATCAGACGGGGATTGGCTGCACTTGAAGCAGCTCGTTCCCTGATGTCAGGTGCGGGCGGACAGGACAGGAAGTGGACGCGGGGCAGCCCGTCCACCATGGCCTCCCCGTCTTCCGCGGGACCCTGTGTGCCTGTGCTTTTGGCTGTGCTTTTGGCCTCAGGCGCCCACTTTCTGGGACAACACTGTCTGGCAGGGCCGGGCCTTCCGCGAGCCTGCGACCCGGCCCCATGGGCACCTGAAGTCTGCGCCAGCCCGTACTGCTCATCAGCTCTGGCCGTGCCCTCCACCCCTTTCCTTCCTAGTCATTCGCAAGCACATGCATAGGATGGCACCCGGAACTGTCGGTGACTGTTCATAATTTCCTAGAACGTTTGGCAAAGGTCTGGCTAGAACTAGCACATGGACAATATGACGAGAAAGTGCAGTTCGTGTAATGGAATTCATTTCAGAAACCCTCACTTTGTGTTCAAACTGCTCACTTCTTACAGTTCAACAGACACAGATGCCAGAAGCGTCAAAAACACCTACTCACTCCAACTTGCGAAACGAGCTTGTGACTTTGTCTGAATAAATGTATTAAAGGCAACTGCATGCGTCTCAGTGGGAAGCCTTTCTAGCGCAGCCCTAGAAGGTAATTTCTAGGTACGGAAGAGATCTAAGTCAGCGCCTAATAAATGCTTTCCAGTGTGTCATTACGGGGCACGGCTGCGGGCCGAGGGTGCCCACTGTGGAACCGCTTATCCCTGACAGGGGGAGACTTCGCTGTTCCCAGTAAGATTTCGAACTTCAGAGTGTCGACTGGATTTTATTTTGGCCAATTCTGCTTAAGAATTGTGTTTTTTGTTTTGAGAAAGGGAATCAAAAGAATCGTGTTTTTTGTTTTGAGAAAGGGAATCAAAAGAATCGTGTTTTTTGTTTTGAGAAAGGGAATCAAAAGAAGACGGTGGGGATTCGCTATTCCAGCCTGAGTCAGCGTGCCCTCGGCCAGCCTTCTCCGGGTGCCCTCGGCCGGCCTTCTCCGGGCGCTGCTGGAGGTGGCCCAGGGTCCCATCCCTGCCCCGGAGAGGGGGCACTCAGGACACGTGCACTAACTGTTTTGGTGAAATTTCTATATTGTGCTTTTTCTGACCAGAGTAATGGTCATTTCAAACAGTGGAGTATCGTAAACAGGGAGCAGTGGTCGCACGTACTGTGAATGGTGGCGAATGTCACGGACCAAGGGAAACAGGGACGTGGGCCCCGTCCTCTCCCCTCCCACTGTATGTCCGGTGCTTTGAGACACCGCTGTCAGAGCACGGAAGCCTCGAGACGTCTGGGCGCTTGGTTTTCGTTTGCATTTGTTGGGAATTCTGGAAATGCTGGGATGCCACCCGGGGGCCAGGGGGCGCGACATGGGACGTGTCACAGAGCTCGGGGGCCACTCGTTCACAGCGGAGGGCGGGCAGGCGCCGTGTTGGCGGGGGCTCGGTGGTGACTGGGCCCTCAGCCTTCCGTGCGGGATCATTTTGGAGGGCGGAGGGACTGGACCTAGAGGGGGTCGCTTGCCTGACCCTTTTGTTAGCGTGTTCTTCAAGGTCAGTTGAGCCTCAAGCGTGAAAGTGTTTTAAAAATGTTTTTCAATTAAACGTCTGGAGATATTTTCAGGAAGCCGCCCCGCTACAATGTAGCCAGTTCCGTATTCGCCCCCGCGGCCACCGTGTTTTCACGTGGGCGGGACAGGCTCCAGACCAGAACACAGGGCAGCTCAGCGGCTGGCCTGCCATTCCCAGCGGGTTCTTCGGCGGAAAATGGTCCTGGTCTTGACACGGGAGGGAACTGCTTCCAAGTTCAGCGTGTCCCTCCCACAGCCGTGTTCTTACGAGCGCTGATGTTAAGATCCGTGTGCCGGGAGGCGGGGCCGCCCAGGAGCGTTTCCCCAGCGCGCGTCCTGCCCGCTCCTCGCAGAGCGGACCTTCGAGCCGCCTCTGTCTGGGGGAAGAGCGCGGATCAGAACGAGAGCCGGGAATCGAACGGCCGGCCCCGGTCTGCAGCCCCTGTGGCATTGCCCCGTGCCGCGTGCGCTCAGGACTGAGGTGCGGGGTCGGGAGGTGAGGCCACCACCGTGTCGCTGGGCAGGCTGCGTGCACGTCTCTTCGTTTCACTCTGCAAGCGACGTAAGCGCTACTTCCGCCGAGGCATGTGGTGAACTGCGGTAGCTCAAGGCGGGTAAGCCTGATTCCAGCGGGACAGCCTGTCACATGACACCGAGAGGCACACTGGCCCTTCCTCGAGGCTCTGGGGGAGGCCGGGAGGTGCACAGCCACCCGCGGACCCAGGCCGCAGAGCCGGGCCCATCTTGTTCCATGGTCCCTTAGACCCCGTGGCCGGTCGCAGTGGTCCCCCAGGGAGTGCCACTCAGCGTCAGCAGACGTGGGAAGAGTCTGGCGGGCGCGTCAGGGAAGGCTGGATGCGGCCTTGTGCCGTGGGCTCCGGCGAGCATCCCCATGGGCACCTCCCTTCCCACTTCCGTCCGTGTTTGTACGTCCGAGAGCCTTTACGAAGCCACATCTGTCTTGCTTAGGGACCAGCCGGACCACTGTCCCCCCTACCGAGAGAGCAGCCAGAGGCTGCCGGGGTCCCTTTTTTGTACGTCACACCTACTACTATGTTAGGGCCAGACGATTATTAAATGTCATAGGGTTTTACATCTAAATCTTCACATCCACTTATGGCTATGTTAGAGGAACACTGCTTTCTACTTTTTAAACATCAGTAGCTCCTTTTACTAGGTTTGACAGGCATTTATTTAGTGGTCAAGAGATCGTCCAGCACTGCTGTGTGATCCTGTGAAAAGGTTGCAATCTTTAAAAACGCATACAAGGTGACAGACTCATGAAGGGCGCTCGGTCGTCCCCCGAGGTGGGTCACGTTAGCATAGCGGTCATGGGTCAGTCCACGCTCCCGGCCACATCCCCTGTGGTCGGTGCTGTTTAATAGAGTCGCTTCGCGGGCTCGGTTTCCTAGAGGAAGCACATTCAACTCCCTGCCCCAGAGCTGCCAGGTGTCCAGGGCGTCGCCTGCATCACCGTCCCACACCGTCTGCCCCGCCGGGTGGCGGAGGTGCCAAGGGTGCTGGGCAGCTCCTAGCCTGTGGCACGGCTACAGCCTGAACCAGGCTCAGGGATTCGGGAGGCCCGATGCGTCTCTGCCGTTACAGTAACCAGCAGAACCGGGTCCCCACACCCCCGGCAAAATGTTTCTCTGCGCGAGGGCCAAACAGCTGGTGAAGCTGTCGGGCTCCCACCCAGCACCCCGCGTGCTCTCGTTTTCTCGGGCAGTTTTCGGAAGTGCGCGTCAGCTCTTCCCGGGAGAGCGTTGTGTCTGCCTTCCTCCGACCTGGGCCTGAAGCAGCAGTGCGTGGGCTGCGCGCATGTTCCCGCTGCTTTGTTATCTCTTCCGTTCGGTCCAGAGCCGGGCAAAGGGTCTGGAGGGTTATTAGAACCTAGACCGCCACCATTTAGAACGGGAGGATGACAGAGAAATGACACGTTTGGACACTTCACCAATTTCTGAGCGTTTTGCGGAAGTAGCAACAAGCAGGCAACTTTCTAACCTTTCATCCCTTATTTGTTGGGTGCTTTAAGATTCCCAGAATGTGTTCGCAGATACTGCCTCGTTCACCCTTGAAGGCACCCACGAAGTAGGTATCATCATCCCCGTTTCATAGATGGGGATGCTGGGTGTCCAGACGTAGATGGCTCGGCCAGGGTCTGGACATGCATTAGCTGCAGAGGTCTGGGAGGGCGTGCGTGTAGCCCGGGGTGTGGCCGGCATACAAGAACAGGTGCACGCCTGTGCCGCCCCATGCCCCCTCATGCCTGAGGTGGTCATGCCCGTGCCCACGAATTTCTGTCTTGTGTGCTCTGCCTTTGAAACCAGCACATGGCCTTACACAGGTTGTCAAATGGACAGCCCATCAACCCCACCCTCAGGGACGCTAGCCAGTGTCCACTCAGGCCCAGCCTCACCCATGCTCCTCACAGCGTTCTGCAGAGTTGTGTCAATGACAGGTGGCTGTCACGTACTGAAGTAGAGAGAGCTCCGTGTGTCACTCTTGGCTTCTCTTGTTCAGTTGTACTTGGCGAACACTCAGTGACAGTGCAAACTTGAGAACCAGATTCTGAATAGAATGTGCCTTTGTGATTCGGCCACCTTTGTACAGAGCGGTTTGTCCCTTAAATGACCAGCAGAACCGGCCTGGACTGGGCATGCGTGGAACGGGGAGAAGCCATCTCCTCGGCGCTTGTGCTTGTAAACACCCGCGAGTCCACGTGCCGTCACGTCACGGCCGGAGAGCACAGAGCCGGGTCCCCAGCTCTTCTCCAAGCCTACGGCTCCTTGTTGTTGCTTTGCGTTTGGCGTCTGTTGCTGGCAGCCGTTTGAAGAAGTCCGGCCCGTGGACCCATCTGTTATGACGGGGACTTTCGTGGGATCAGAGTCTGGGCTCCAGAAGGGAGACAGAGCCACGGGCTCCTTGTACCGGTGTCTGCTGCAGCCCAAGCCTGCGCAGAGCGTGGTGGCCTTGGCTCTGCATGGCGTTTTTGTAGCATGAGCCTGCGTTGTTTTGGGGACCCAGGTTCTGCTTGCTACTGGGACGAGAAGAGCAGAGGATGCACGAACATCTCAGATCACCGCAGAGAGCCCAGCCTTCACTTTCACCTCGATTTCGGGCCCAGCTTCGTTGGGCCTTGGGCCAGGCCCACTCCCCTGCCACGAGGCTGGGAACCCCAAAGCAGCCTCACGGGGTGTCACAGTGCTATGCGGAAGCACGCAGCTAATCTCCCAGCATCCACCATCTTCCTTAAATGCACACGGGCTCCTGCATCGTGTCTGCCGCTAGGAGGGGTCTTTGGGGTGGCGTACAGCACCGCCATGCCGAGTCCCCCGCCCCCGCCAGCCCCCTCCTCCAGAGCCCAGTTCGATCACCAGGGTCCAGAACACCAAATGCACGGCGGAGGGCAGCACGGAAGGATGGAGCGGTCTGTGTAAACACACACCGGGAGCCAAACACTTTAATTGTTTTGGAGGCATCGTTTAGTCGTTTTCCCCACAGCGCCTTTCACTCTCTCTGTGGCAGTCAGGGTTACAGAAAACAGCACCAGAGGATGAAGGGGAACAGTCCCCCTCGTTCCCCATCCCCCCCCGCCCCCTGCGCCCCAGCCGCCCTCAGCCGCAAGTCATTCTCACTTCTGCGTGAGCTTTCACACACGCGCCCGTGCGTGCACACACACGAGAAGGGAACAGAACCCCACGAGAGCACGTGGGGAAGAAACATTTAAGCTCATCTTCTTCTCCATCCAGCGTCGGTACCAAACTCCCGGCTCCCCAGCAGGGCTCCCCCAGCTGTGTCACTGGGTCCCAGCGAGGATGATAGGCAGTGTCCCCCGGTTCCCCAAGGTCCCCTTTGGATGGGAACGTGTCCTGAGTCAGTCGTTCTGTTTCTGTTTGCTGTCGGTGTCTCCATAGGCAGAGCCCTTGTCAATTTCTGTCACGCCGATCATCCATCGAACACCCATGGAAGCTGCAGAAACGGGAAGGACAGGGCATTAGAGGGGCCCGTAGGGGCTCCGGGGTGATGCTGACGAGACCCCTAAGAGGGCTCGTCCTGAGAGCTGGCAGGTTTGGGCGCCGTTTCACAGCCCCTGCCTCACAGGGAGCCACGAGCACGAGCGTTGGGTCTCACTGGACTGTGACAGGAGCACAGAGCAAGGCTGTTCTGTGGCCGGGTTTCAGCCCTTCGACATGTCAGCTGCGGGCGAGGCTGACAGATTTCCCGTGTGATCCCAAAGGCAAAGAGCAGTCTTTGGAGACTGCATGGCGGGGACTCACATTAATGAAGGACGTACCGGGCCCCTGGAGAAGGCCCGCCCGACATGGCTGCTGGTGCAATGACCAGGGCAGCGAGCAGGCTCGGCCCTGCCTCTTCCCGACTAACCTGGTACAGACACTGAGGACCCGCAAGAGGGCCCCGCACACCCGCCGGGAGCGGCGCACGGGGTCAGTGCAGCCCGGGGACGGCAGACTCGGTGAGCGGCCTGGGTGCGGGGACCACATCTGCGTCACCGGATATGCCGGCACCAAACATGGCCCAGCAACGGCCCACTTATAATATGATACACGTGCAAGAGCGGACAGGTGGGCAACGACGAGGTCGCAGATGTGCAGCGTTGGCTCTGGTCTGAACGGTCAGAGGGAGCCGACTGGGAAGCGCGAGTCCAGCAGCCAGTGCGAGGCCCGCACGTCCCTGGGTCAGGGCGGACGGGCAGACCGCAGCCTGGGGCCAGCTGTGAAGAGGCTGACAGGAGCTCTAGCACGAGACCCTCCGTGCACGAGTGACGGGCATGCGTCATAGGGGACACAGGGCTGCTGGCACGCGCCATTGTCCCAGGAGGCCTTGTGAGGAGGAGAGTGACATGAAGATGAGGCCTTGGTCTCCCTCTGACTCCGGAAGCACAGCGTCCCCCATTCGTAGGGCAAGAAGCAAGCGCGGTGACTCTGGCCGCCCCACTTCGTAAACAGGTGTCAGCGTCAGGAAGGTTTGTGGGGGGAAGCGAGCGTCCACGAGACGGCCGAGCTGCTGACAGCTCCACTGAGGTCGGCACGTGCCCTGCCCGAGGCTGGGCCTGCTCTGCGTGGCAGGGGGCCCAGGACCCCAGGCGCGATCTCGCTGTGTGCCTGCCGTCCTGCTGCCGTTTGCCCCGTCGCCTGCAGGCTGTGCTGCTCTCTCCAGAGACAGCCCAGCACCGAGCAGACGTGTCCCCATGGGGGCCGGAGCCCTCCTCCGTCTAGGGCACCTCGCTGCATGCCGCCCCCCCATCCCGCAGGCTCTTGCCCCCCACTTACCCACAAAGAGAACGAGGACGAAGCTGGCTAGCGTCAGGGAAGAGCCACTGCTGACCATGCTGACCAGGAACCGGACGAAAGGGCAGAGCAGCAGCGACGCCCAGAACAGCCAGTTCAGGAGCGCCCAGGGCCGCCGCGGGGGCACCATGGGCGTCCCTGGGAAGGTGCCCGTCCGGCAGTACTCCTCCTGGAGGGCGTCCTGGGGACAGAACGGGGGCCTGAGCACCTGTCCTCACAGACCGGGCAGCTCAGAGCTCATGCGGCACCCACAGAAGGTGTCCTGCAGGCACTCGGGTTGTGACACTCTATCGGGCTGTCCCTTCCTGTGGCGACATGGAGAAGCAGGGCCACTGCAGCTCTGTCACCGAGTCTGGGCATTGGGGCTCCAGCTGGGGCACGGAGCCAGCCCGTTCCAGCCTAGTCTGACTGCGCAGGTGACTGGCCCGAGGCCCAGGGCCTGGTGGCCGGGACGGGCAGTCAGGCCGTCCACACAGGTCAGGGGGAAGAAGGAAGACGCTGCCCTGAGCCAGGCCCCCGCCCCGGGGTGTCGGAGCGGGTTGTCATCTGACGGCCTCCTGAAGCTAAATTCCGTTTGTGTTCGTCCCTGTCTGTCTCGCCGGAGTGTGTGTGTCCTGAGGGTGTGCAGGACCTTCACTCCCAGACACCCCCGAGGCTCGGGCGGTGCTGAGGACAGCGCCAGGGGCCGGGCACTGCTGTGTGAGGCCGGGGGCAGAGACCGCCTCCCGCGTTCACTCAGCTGTGGGAGTGTCCCCACTTCTCAGCAGCAGCCGTCATAAAAACACTGCGGGATGACTGTGCACACCCAACAAAGCACGGCCACGCCAGGCCGGCTCGTGACCCGTCTCGACTTAGGAGGTCGTGCTTCTCAATGGGGTCGAGTCTTCTGGAAAACAAGCTTCCAGAAGCTTAAAGTGCTGAATGTTTTCTTTTAACGACATGAGGTTGAAATGTCTAGAGTATATCATACTTCTTTTCCAATCAGGGTGTACAGAATAATATGCTGTTTTGACCACTTGGTGTCATTACTAAAATCAGTCCACAAAATGGGCCTTTTTGGAAGCGATTGACCCTTCCCTGGGAGCTCGGGAGCTCTTTCTGTGTTCAATCCCAGATGGTTTGGGGTCACAACACGTGGCGGATCAGAAGTAAGTGTTTACCGGGCAGTGAGACCAGGTCATAGATGTGCCTTCTTCCCCAGGTGGAAGCTAAACCTTCCTCCTCCTGTAAGATCCAGCAGCCTGAGCAAGAATAATTAGTTCTCTCTGCCCTGCGACTGTCTTGAAGGACAGAAACCAATGAAAGGTAATGCCCTGCTCAGAGGAAGGAGCGAGAGAGGAGGGGGCCCTGGAGAGCTTGACCACAGACTAGAGTCGGGGGCCACTGCAGATCAAAGCCAGCCGAGGTGGGCCTTGTGGGGCTTCTTCCTGCTCACGCCAGTGATGTTTTGAGACCAGACAACCAAATTGTGGACCCAGAAGCCACCAAGATCATGTGTATTGCTAAGGAATGTTTTGCCTTAAGAGCAGAGGCAGGAAACTAGATCAGGGCTGTTGAGGCCATGACTGCCTTTTCTGTCCACTACACCTATGAAATAGTTCTTTCTGTGAAACTCCTTTAAAAACACTTTGCAATGTTCTTTTCCCTGTTGCCACGTGGAGCGTCAGGCCTGGTTAATGACGGGTACGCGGTTCTGTCTGGGGGACAAGGCCCTCGCCACAGCTCTCAAGGGCCCCGCAGGGCACCCACAGCCGCAACTGGAGATGGCCCCTCGACCCCCAGAGCCACCGCAGCACTGACCTTCTCCTGGTACAGCTTATGGAGCCAGGCCGCACACTCGTCCCCGTCTTCAGGGACTTCTTCCAGAGGGATCCGCCTGCAAAGCAGAGAGAGCAGCTAGCAGGAGGCGGAGGCGGCCGACACCAGGCACCCGAACGTGGCTTCGGACACCGGCGCCCGCCATCCTCCGGCTTCTCTGTCCGTAGCCTGGATCTCGAGGACGTGAATCGTATCCAGCTGATAGAAAGTGGGGAAGGACACACGCGTACGGGGTGACAGGGGTACAGGCCAGACGCCGTCGTGGCCCGTGAAGGAATGGCCCAGAGGACACCTGCCTCTCCGTCCTCCCTCCCACCTTACGGTGTTGGCCTCTGCGGCGGCGACCGCACCGCCTCAGTTTCCACAGGAGCCAGTCCACGCTGCACGGAAGCTAAGTGGAGGCGATAACGTTCTAGCACTTTCTCAGCCAGGTAAGGACTTATTGCTAATGCGAGGTACCTCCCTTCAGATGACTCCCCTTTCCTCTCGGGCAGTGCTGAGGCCGACTTTCTGCAAAGGTTCTGCCAAATAAGACATGTATCTTGGGAGATGAGTGTCCCTTCCCCGATGGAGAAACCAGGGCACCCTCCCCAGGCTCGGTGGCTCGGACACTTTGCCCACCGGCGCTGGGTCGGTGATCCCCGGGTGGCCGGGCTGCTGCTGGCAAGGGCTAGGGTGTAACATGAAAATGCTCTGTTGTTTGTAATGGGCTAGAGATGAGGTGTATGTTTTACAGGCCTGAGCAGCCCTGCCCCGAGGCCACCAGTGGGGACTGGCTTTAGGGGCGAACTGGTCTGACTGGCTGCTTCCTCTCCGGCCCCTACCTGCGCTCTGGGGCCTGTGCTTCGGCAGGTGGTGTTACCCGCCCGGTGGCTTCGTCGTAACATAACCTCACAAGCTGACCTGCTCGGCTTTCCCCAAACACCGCGGGCACAGCTGGCCATGGAGTGGCGCTCCTGCCAGCTGTGGAAGGAACTCGGGGGACAAAACCTCACCTTACTTACTTTGACACTTGCAGATGACAGAGGCCTCCTTGGGGAAGGCGAGTGCTTTTCCTGCCCTCGTAGGCTTGCAACTGAGTGATAAGGCGGACTGTCAACTGACTGCCGCGTTAGCCAAGGAAACAGTAACCATCATGAGGCCCCTTTCCTTCTTTTAAGGGGTAACTAGAGTCTTGAAGTAGAAAGCTATCTAACTCAGGCTTTCAGTCCACCAACAGACCTCCCGGAAGCGTG